GCTCAAGATTTTAGACACATTCATATAACATTTCTGTTTTTAGCTTCCTTGTATCCCCAAATGGAGGCCCGATACCAACCTCATATGTGTATTTTGTGAAGGAAATGAGGTAATGTGTGTGAGGCTCCCGGCACACTGTGGGCATTCAACAGATGTTGGTTTTACCCCTTTTCCCTTTTCTTATCTCATACACACTATAAAAGTGGCTTCTCATTGCTTTAAATATGGACTTTTTAGGCAATAGCTGTAATATTGAAAAAAAAACCTCTGTGAAAATTGAATTCTCCTAAATCAGATTATATTTTAAGTGCACAAGGGTTTTAGCTATTTATAGGGAATCTATGGTGAATCCCGTTGTAATGCACATAATCACTTTCTCCTTTATCTGTTTAGTAAGTCGAGCGTCTCATGTATCAGATTTTCTTAATATGAGGCTTGCTCGTACAGAAGAGCTTTCCGAACCCCCTCTCACTGATGGAAAAGTCACTCAGGTTGCAAACAAAATCAGTCATTGTGTTCATTTGGCAAAGCCTTGCTGTAGTGTTTGACCATAACCTCATATTCCTTTATTATTAAATAATAGATTTTCAGAATGGGAAACTGGAAGACACCTTAGAGATCACATCACACGGTCCATCTCTCTCATGTCCCTGATGAGGCACTAGAAGCACAGAGAGGTAAAGTGTCATGTCCAGTGACGCCAGCCAGCGACTGTCAGACAGGGATGCACTTCCAGACCTCTGTTGCCAGTCCTCACGCTCTGTCTGGCCTGTCCTCACGCCGCCCCCTCCAAGATCCCAGGGCCATGCACACACGTTTTGGTGTAGGAGATGATAGACGAATATGATGCATTTTCTAAAACAACCAAAGGAGCTGCAAATGTGGGCAGTTTCAAGGGAAACTGCTGGATTTGCAGTTTTGTGAGTTGATGACAATATACAGCTTAACCTTTTCGTTGAAGAGCTGAGTGGAATCCAGTATAGAGATGCTGCTTGGCCCATTACGAGAAAATAAATTACAATTCTTCGCTAATGTTCTTCCTCAGTGAGGGTTTTACCATATCATGTCTTACAAGCAGGTGCCAAGTGCAACAACAGACCCTGATAGATCCTCCATGGTTTGAAGGCCTTCTACTCACTGGCATTAGGCAGGCCAGGAAACTTGATTTGAACCATGTTTAGACAAACTGTATTTGATATTCTCAGCTTTTTGAGAAATTCATAAATCACCCTGCCCTTGGGGGAGGGGGGTGGGTGGGAGGTAATCAACCAAGGACCTTAGGGGTGGCGATTTGGGGAGGGTCAATAGGGGAAAGTAGGGGGCATATGTAATACTTTCAACAATAAAGAATTACTTAATAAACAAATAAATCACCCAGCCCTGGAAATGCCTTCTGCCTGCCCAGATTGTCTAGTGTACTCTTAATTAGTACATAATTATTCTTAAAGAGCTAACCATGGAAGGTATGCACATTTCTGGAAGATTTCAGTGGGCAGGCAGGGCCTTTATTCTCCGTGTGAACTGTCATAACCAGCTTCTGCAGCCCTGGGGACTTTCTCAGTCCTTGGGGCCTGAGGATTTGGACTGCAGTGCCACTTACTAGCTCAGGACCTTGGGCTATATTCAACCTTTCCGAGCCTTCTTATTTATACAAAAGCTAACCTGTGAACGAAAATTCAATAAGATACTCTCTTAGGCACTTGGGACCATGGTACAGAGAATGTATGTGGAAAATAAAAAGCAGAATTCAAGGCCCTGGCCCTTGAGAAGCTGTTCTTACCACTGGCCTTTCAGGGAAGTTGTTAGGGAGCCACAGAATCAGGTTCCAATGTGTGTGGAGGGGGCGTGGGGGAGCTGCTCCCCAGCAGACCCAGGTCTGAGAGACTTGCTGGAAGTGCCAATGACATGATATACCTGTACTGAGGCTGGGGCGGGAGGGAGTGACCAGGAAGGGCTCAGGGCAGAGTTAAGTCTCCAGGGTTGGGAAGCACCTCTGTGAGCTCAGAAGTAGTGCAGGGCATCTCCTCTCCCCATGGGTAGGTTTCTGGAGTGTAGACCTCACACCTTGAACAAGTCCATCCACAAAGGTGAGGTTTGTAGCAAACCCTAGAGGAAGGTCAGTTTGAGAGGAAAAACTGTCTTATTTTAAGTCAAGCACGGAACAGGAAGTAGAGCTATTTGCTTTTGTAGCGCAAAAATGGTCATTATTTCTTTAAAACTCACCAACTCCTTAACTAGGACGAGTTCAGATCGAAGCTCATGAGAATTGCCTAAGAGCAAGGTTAGGCAGCATAAGATTATACAATGAAGCCGAATTTATGTGTAGGTTTTTTTTTTTTTTTACAAACTTTCAAATATATTTTTTTCTTAGAATTTAAAAGGGAAACTAAACGTTCCAGCTGTCAAGAGTCTGTGATTTTTATAACAATGTATCAGATTTTGAAATAAGCTCGATATCTTATACGTAGCTCTGATTTTAATTTTAAAGGGAGCAAATTCAGGGAACACCTCACCGAATGGGCAAATATGGAAAGAGTTGCTCTGCTTCAGTGGAAAAGGAGCTGCAGACTAGATTAGCACTAGTAGCTCCACTCACCCTGTGCCAGGTACTGTGCCTTCTGGCAGGTTCCCTCGACCCTTTACAGATAAGAAGACTGAGCTTTCTTTAGAGAGATTATGTGCCATTAGTTCCATGCTGCAGAGGAGGGAGCTTAGGCAAAACTTCAAGTGAGCTGTCCAATAAATAATAAGCAAAATGAACCTCTTGTTTTCCATTTAAGGGCATTCATCTAATATAACTCATTCCTCTCTCACTGCTATTTATCCTTCAACCTTTCCTTAAAGCTCTAAACAGACCTGTGAGAAGCTAGAGAGACTGAACATTATTGTAAAGACGAATACTTTGAAAAGAAACTCAATTTTATGTCTTCAGGACTGTATGGCAAAGGCACTAGGTTAATGCCATGTGAGTATGGAAGGATGATTTGTAATTAACAGATGGACTGTTTTTATGTTCGCCTATAATTGGAAATCGTTTATTCTCTGAAGTGGTTTAAGTACTTGGGAGGCAGCTCCCTGAAATGAAGAAAGACTGGTCTTTGGAGAACAATAGGCCCACTTCCTTTCCCCCATAAAGATCCCTCCTTCACGTATTCTTTTATTCCGTGCTCTGTCAGAAAGGACATGCAAAGGATCAGCCCAGCCTTGTGGACTTGGTCTCAAGTTCTGAATTAGTGATCCGAGTTAATAAGGTTTTACTATCTTATAACTGATCTTCCTTGTGAAACTGTAAAACACAATTCTACTTCCCTGTGGTCAGTGCAATTTATGGTCCATCGCTTACATGGTTTCAGCCAGAAAGTCAAGTTGACTTTCTAAGTGTTTCCTTTTGTGGACTGCCTGAGGTCAAGCTGTTGTTGAATCACAGATTTTCTGAAGGAGAAGCAGCTGCCAGGAGAATTGCATGTGAGAAACATCAGGAAAGGACTAAGTAGATTGGGGTAGAATAGAGGAAATCTAGGGTTTAGCATATGCCAGGAGGCAGGGAATGCCTGTCTTAGGCAGAATAGAACTATCTCAGCTGAGTGGCTGCATGTCTGAATACCCTCCAGGTATCCACTCAGAAATCCAGGCCAGTGGGCTGTGATGGGCCCCCCCGTTCTAATCTGAAAGTGGAGAAAGTGCAGATTTCTCCGAAGGCTCTTGGACATATGTTCCATTGTCCTATAGGGAGGCACCATCCTTTCCTTTGGGACAAGGAAGGATGGAATGAAAATTTTATGAACTGGAAATTGAACATATGAATGGAAAATACAAGCAGATGTTGGTTGTCTAGGGTAGAGGAAAATTGTCAGAATTTCAGGTTTCAAATCTCTCCTTGCAAGTAGGTTAGAAATGAGCATTAGCTTAACCATCCTGCCAAAATAAGTCGGTGCTATTTATTCTCTCAATTGCGTGTGTTTCAAATATCTGATTCCCTTATGTTAGGTCAGTTCTAGTTTTCAGTTAAATCTCCTCAAAAGTCCTTTGAAAGAATCTCATGGAATCCTTTAAGAGCCAAGGTCCTAGAATAAACTTTACTTTTAATTGATTTGATTGTAGATGTTTTCACTCCAGCTTATTTCTCAGTCTTGATGAAATAACTGTTTTCCCCACGGAGTCAGATGAAATTAAGAAGCTCTTCAATTGATCTCCAGCTCTGATTTGCTCCTAGTGATTCTAGGATCAAGGAATGTTTACTTGAGGACTGTAAACATGCGCATTGCTTCCACCCGGACACATTCTATTGGAAACTCCCACAGTGGTAATAGGAATATCTTCACCCATAGCCTTCCCTATGTGCTTAATTTTCAAGTCTTTGTTTTGTTATCACAGAACAATAAGATAATTTATATGAAATAACTGACATTGTATGGGAAATCTTTTCAAAAGCTATGAAACTTACACACTGTGGGTTTCTGGAGTAAATTTCTTCCGTGTGTGTGTGTGTGTGTGTGATTGAATAATCACTTTTTTTTTCTACTGGAAATCTGAGGCACCAAAAAAATGTCATTAACAGACAACTGGCTTGTTGAATACATCATAGAAAAGAATCTTTCATGATGATTTTGTGGTCAAAATTTAAATGCTAAATCCAGACAGCTATAAAAACTACAGATTTGAAAAGAAAGAATGCCATCAATCACAGGATTTTTACCTTCACGGAAATTAGATTTATTGAAATAAACTGGTAAATAAAAATACTTTCTGGCTTGGGAGAATCAACCTAGTTTCTGATACTTTTCCCCCCTGCTCCAAAAGTATCATCAATCTCTCTGTTTAGATGCAGTGCAGCCAGGTGTTCAGAATCATAGGGGGACGAAAAGAATTAGCTTCTTGCTGAATAGGGGAAGTTAAGCCCCCCCCCCCAAGAAAAAGCTGGTGTAACAGGGCTTAAAACTATGAAAAACGTAGACCCATTGAACTGAACCCCCTTTTTCCTTCTCCTGCCCCCAGGAATAATTCTGCTGCAGGGCTGATTTCAAGGACATGGATTGTTGACCTCATCCCAACACCAGAACCTCGGCGGTTATTGTGATTTTTGCACCATTCCAGGCAAGTTGACTTTATATGGAAATAAAATTGAACCTTAGAGGTCTGATGGAAATTCACTGTGACATTCCAATCGAGAAAACTTGCAGAAGCCCACAGAGCCTTTCCCAGGGGGCCTGATGGTAGCCTCCAGAAGGTGCGGCCTCAGGTGGTCCCCCTTCTTCTGTGGCAAGAATAAACTTTGGGTCTTGGATTGCAACACCACCTGTGGAGAAAATGGTATGCGAGGGAAAGCGCTCAGCCTCTTGCCCTTGTTTCTTCCTCCTGACCGCCAAGTTCTACTGGATCCTCACGATGATGCAAAGAACTCACAGCCAGGAGTATGCCCACTCCATACGCGTGGATGGGGACATCATTTTGGGGGGTCTCTTCCCTGTCCATGCAAAGGGAGAGAGAGGGGTGCCTTGTGGAGAGCTGAAGAAGGAAAAGGGGATCCACAGACTGGAGGCCATGCTTTATGCCATCGACCAGATCAATAAGGACCCTGACCTCCTCTCGAATATCACTCTGGGTGTCCGGATTCTTGACACATGCTCCAGGGACACCTACGCTCTGGAGCAGTCCCTCACGTTTGTGCAGGCGCTGATAGAGAAAGACGCTTCGGATGTGAAGTGTGCGAACGGAGACCCACCCATTTTCACCAAGCCCGACAAGATATCTGGAGTCATAGGTGCTGCAGCCAGCTCCGTGTCCATCATGGTTGCTAACATTTTAAGACTTTTTAAGGTAGGTAAAGGCATTGTCTTTCTGACGATTCTGAAAGAATAATAAATTGTTCTGACACCAACGGCAGGTTTCCCAAATAGAGGATTCTTTGCCTGGGTTTCTACAAGGGTTAATGTAGTTCCATTATTTAGAACTAATCGTGACTGTTCTTTTTCTGAACAAACAGAAAGATGATAATTTCTGTGACATGTTGAGTCTTCAACAGCCTGGAATATCTTCTTTACTGAGGCTCATTTAAAATCAAAGCAAGTATTTTTAGAGAGTATAATGAACTCTTCACACATTTAGCATAGGAAACATTGCTATGGTATTTGAGATATTAGATAATTTACTTGGTGAAAGTTCTTTGAAGTGGGATGCTCTGTTATGACAAAAGTTCCCGTGTGAAGAAACAGTATTTATTACTAATGTGTAGATGGGAGTGACACACTGGGCTAAGGTGGCCATAAAATTGTCAGGTTTATTATGGCTACAGAAGAGCAGAACCTCATTAATTCAGACTGCCCTGGTGCAGCCTTGGGATAATTATAGATAATTCTTATTGAGGTAAAAGTTCAAATTTAGCAAGATAATTCAACACTTCTTGACTTAGACTTCTATTCAGATGATCTATTACCTATAAATTACATTTACATATTGAATAAAATTGGCAAAATAAAATGATGTGTGTAACAACACCTTGAGAGTATAAAGTGCCATAAAAATCGTTTTTGTAACTCACCATCTTTCATTAACTTTCCCATTTTATTTGTTAATGTCCATTATGTAGTCTTTTGTAAGGACAATTTTTAAAATTGAAAATACTTTTCATTCTGATTTCCTACTCCGGAACATGCCTTTTCCAACTTACTCTGAACTAATGAGGCTTTGCTTGGTATTGAGAAACTGTTCCTATGCATATTACATTGAAACATATTAAAAGAATATGGAGAATTAGGTGACAGATCTAGTGACAAAAGTGAGCGAAGTGATGGAAAACTAGCTTCACAATAAAGATAAAAGGAAGTGAATCAAAGGCTTTCTGGTTGGGAAGATATCTTGGAGGACCATCTAGTGTGGTTCACTTCGTGGGCTGTAATCGTCTCTGTAACACGCTTCACCCCCAAAGGGGCTGTCCAGCTTCTGAATGAATTCCCTTGGTTTGGAGAAGAGAATGCTAAGATGGCAGCTTAATGAGTCTTTTCAGGTGGGTGACATTTTCTCAAATGAGGATGCTGCTGAGCAGAAGCAGCTCTGTGTCTGAGCAGCACTGAACGGGCACAAACAGGCTTTCGGGAATTCTGACACATTTGAGCAGGACATTAGGAAGCGCCCCATGCCGGGAGGAGGACACCGATTAAAACAGGCCGCCAAGGGTTCTCTAATTCTTCATCTCTGGAAACTTTCAAGGCAAACTGGCAAGTTGTTAATAGTTTATCCTGGGCTTAGCTGACCCCTTGTCCAGAGGCAAGTTGCAGAACCAGGACTCTGCAGGTTTTCCTCACATCCCGGGACCTAGGACTTCTCCCAGCAGTCCCCACTCCGAGCCATATGGCATTTCTGCTCAGGGTGATGTCCCACTCCAGCCACCTTCCCACTTTCTTCTCTGACTTGATCTCCTTCCCTGCTTTCTCCAGGGCATCTCTTTCTGTTCCCAACTCAGCAACGATGGCCCAACAACGCTCACTTTTAGAGAAGAGGAAAACCTTCATGAAGATTTTCTCCCTTCCTTCTGTTACCTTCCCCTAATGGGCCAATTCTGGTTCCCATCCATCCCACCAGAAATACTCTGAATCCTTCTTCTTCCTGTAGTCTTGTGCCCCCGTAGGCAAGGATTTGATCATGGGGTGGAAGTGGTTAAGTGCTTATTTGAGATTCTCAAAGCTTGTTTACATCAATTGTGGCACAGAATCAGCTTATCTGTAAAATGGGGATAGTAACATTGTGTTAGGTTTTTGGGTGGATTTAATGGGAAAATGCAGGTGAAGGGTTCTACTAGGATCTGGCCATGTCCTTTGCCTCCTTGGACTGCCAAAGGGAACCTGGGCACTTCCTCCGGCCACCTGAAGGGTGGGTTTTGCTTTTATGCAGTCTGGACCTGGCTTCTTTTCTGCTCTGTTCTTCCCCTATGGCAGCCGTGGGCAAACTACGGCCCACGGGCCGGATCCGGCCCGTTTGAAATGAATAAAACTAAAAAAAAAAAAGACTGTACCCTTTTATGTAATGATGTTTACTTTGAATTTATATTAGTTCACACAAATACTCCATCCATGCTTTTGTTCCAGCCCTCCGGTCCAGTTTAAGAACCCATTGTGGCCCTCGACTCAAAAAGTTTGCCCACCCATGCCCTATGGACTGGCCAGTTCTCTCCTTACTCTTTTGGGTAACCCAGTGGGAGAATTCCCATGGACCCTTTGGGCAGAGCCCAAGGCTCCAGCCAATTTCTGAGACATGGTCCGCGCATAAAGGGGCAAGAGCACGAGGAGTGAAGGCCTTCTCGCCTGGAGGGGACATTGGTTATGGTAAATGTCATAACAAAGATCAGTACTCTGGCACCGAGTGACCATTTAATTTATAGAAGTGAATGTATTTATCAATCAAATTACCAGGCTTGAAAAATTTGTGTCTTTTTAAAAGTAAGGGAGAGGATATAGGTGCTCAGCCCATCTTTCAGCTCAGCGTGAAGCCACATGAATGTGAAAATTACAACTTGTTGTGTTAGTTTGATTTACTTTGATGATTTCTATGAGACCTCCAGGCAGCACTTCGCAATAATATTAATTATGAAATGATGACGATCACTTTTAGAATTAGAAAATGTTTCCATTAATATATAAATATGTCCTGTTTAAACACACAGATGCTAGGGCTGACATGAAATATTAGAATAGCTATTAAAGTTATAATTATAAAATTAACACTTTGGGATTGGCCTATAGTTCCATTTTAAAAATTAATAATTTTATTAAGTCAAGTGCTCTGACTTGAATACAGGTCAACATTTAGGATAGTTTTATGGAGCTTGGGCTCCTCCAGGACCGCGTAAGACCCACAGAATCTACAGTGATGCATGGGTATCAGTATATTGCCACTTATTCCTGGATTGATGAAGTTAAAGAAGGTAGAGCATCTTGGTTTGAAAATATACAAATATTTAACCCCGACGATAAGGGATGTGAGCAAGGTCTTGATTAATGTATCTACTGTCTATCCTGCTCAACAATAAATGTTACTTGGGGGTTTTTAGAATGCAGCTGGGATCTGTTTAAGACTGTATAGAAAATATTTGGGCTAAAATTGTAAGTAATCTCTAGATTTCTCAGTTCCCTTTTTTTTTAGACAGTCTGGTAAAGGCATGCAGTAATTTAGTGCGGGCTCACTTGTGAAGGAGTCAATCTGCGGGCCTCTCCATCTTCCCGTCCTTCAGTCTTGCTCCTCCTGTGGCAGCCTGTCCTTGTATCCCTCTATGTTCTCTTAATTGAAGTCTGGTTTCCGGAAAGGTTATCTGTCATCTGCATATAGTATGTCTGTGTTGAAGGCAGAGAAGGATTCTATCTTCTGCAGGATCACTAAATATTGAATGAAATAATTTGTGTTTGTAAAGCGGATCCAGGCATCAGTGGGGGGAGGTTCATTTAGCTCCCAGGACTGCATCTGGAGGACAGTTGGGCAGCGGGGTAGAGCCGAACGCCTCTGGGTGCAGAAGCTGCCCTGAGGTCTGCGCCCACAGGACTCTCCCCATGCCCCGGGGTAGTGTGTGTGTGGCTTAGCCAATGACAGGACCCAGTGAGTGAGTGCCGGCCTCTGAGGCCCTCTCTAGGAACCATTTTAATGATTGAAGTGTCTCACATTTCCCAGGTGAGCTGGGAGCGAAAACAAATTTGAGAGTTACAGAACAAGACTTTAATGAACTGAATCTTTTAGAAATACGACTGTGTCTACACACACACACATACACACACACACACACACACACTCTCACTCACACACCCTTTATATATAGCTTAACATGGGGGCAGAGTGGTCACCTGGGCGATTGTTTAATCTCTATAGCAAGTTAATGGTTTTAGATAATAGTACTATCAATTATGATAATGTGACATGTAACTGCAGAACCGCAAAGCCAGAACTGCTCCATCCCACACAGAGGGGAAAATGCCAGTGTGGTGGCTCCTGGATTGCAGAGAGATGGAGAAAAAAAGGAAGCCGCTCTCAGAGCTGGTGCAGTTTGAAAAGAATTTAAAAAAAATAATGAGAAGGCCTTTTGGAAATGTTGACTGGGAAGCCCATAATTTAAATTTGTTTCATTAAGTCGTTTGGAGGAATTTGCGTATGTTTATAAGGAGCTCAGATTTTTTTTCTATTTTCTAGAACATTTCCACCTCTCTCCTTCAAATTAGAGCAAATCTGTTCCTCAAAACACCTTTCTTACTTTGAGCAAAGATCGAACATTCCATGTTAAAAATAGCACACTGGTGCTTGGAGGTGATGCACATTAATGTCTACATAGATGCATTGGGGTTACAAAAAGACAGTGTCAGGTTTAATTTCTCTCGCTCATGTTTTCCCAGTCAACTTTACCCAGGGAGTTAATTTTCAACTCTTGAAGGATAAGAGTTACATAGTCTGTAGTGTGTACTTCCCAGAGCAATCAAGTGAGCCTTTCAAATAGAAGTCTGCCTGTGGGCGGGTTAGAAAATTTTTTCCTACATGGCAAGTGTCCTGGTTATAAATGGCTAACACCGACCTTTGTGTAAGTAAATGAGGCACTGAGGCACCCCGTGACCCTGGTGGAAGCCTTTGCCTGCCTGGCTATGTTTACAAAGATGTATTTTCTTCCAAGAGACTCTGCTAATTGTAGCAACCACTTCCACAAAGCCTAACGTTTTGTGAGTTATTTATTGCATACAATGGGCTTTATTAACTGTAAACGCTGAAAAGGTAAATCTTCCATAGCCAAGCTCACCTAGTGAGATGGACAGATACATGAGCCCAGTCAATAAACTCAGCAGGAGGTAGCA